GAAGGGGGAAAAAAAGAGAATCTTTTTATTGCTGACTCATGATGTACTGTAGAAAGAATAGGGTTTTTCATCTTAAAGATTTTCTATGTGAACTTTACATTAGGAATAAAGAACCCTTCCAGATTGTTTTTCCTGTAGAACTGTGAACACATGGAGATTTGTGGGGTTTGGCAGCTCAAGAGACTGAAATATGGACAGTTGAGTAGGGGGAAGAATTTTTATGTTGACCATTTAAAGCTCTTTTTTTACACCTGTTTAAAATTCTGAAAACACAAGAATAATTCATTATTTACAGCGCCTACATCTTCAATTAATGATTGCCTATATTCAATCTTCCTATAAAGACAGGATGCTCTATATGTGGTGTTTCTAATATTTAAGGTAAACTAGGGGGTTGCTCGCTATGCTGGCCACTCCACCTCTCTCAGCCACTTTGCAGCCAGAGAGCATGATGATGTCATTGCACAGCAGGAAAAACTTTTAAATTAATATAATATATATATAGAGAGAGAGAGGGAGAGAAAATGAACTGTCCTTTCAGGCATTTTTATATACATTCTAAAGAAGTAAAAATTGGTGCACATATTCTTTTTGCAGTTCGCTTTGAAATGTGTAAATCATGGGGTGGGTCACCTCAAATCTGTCGAGGGCCATACACGAGAAGCAAAAAAACCCCCCCCCCCAAAAAACCCATTTATGTGCCTCCTGACTGAGAAGGAGAAAGATGCTCCACACATTTCCCTTGCACACTTGAGCCTGGGGGGGGGGGGGGGGTGTGGAGCATGTGTTCCAGCCTCAGGTTGGGGGCAGAAAGGGGGAGTTAGGGAACTAGCACAGGCTCCCCAGTTCTGGGAGGGATCATGAGCCTTGGAGGCCAGATCCAGGCAAGCCAAGGGGAACATCTGTCCCCCGGGCCTGAGGTTCCCCACCCCAGTGTCAATGAAAACTATCGTTACCAGCCTTTCAATCTTACTATGAACATGGGTGTAAATTATCTTCAAAAAAGATCCCTTTATTACAAATCCTGGAGTGATTTTGTGACAAGACAATTCTAGGTTTTTTTTCCATTGGCAAAATTATATGGCAGTAGAAAAAACGGTGCAAATCCATTTTATTTGAAGAAATCTAATTTGCTTATCCGGAGGCTACTCTCCGAAGAAAACTACACTGGTGTTAGTAATTATGGGATTAGTCAAACTATGACTCATAAAATCCTTTTACACTTACTTATTGGCATGTTCAAAATAGTTTTTCCAAGTAACTTGCTTAATTTACTCTCCTTCTCCCCCAAAATTAACCCCCCCCCCGCCTCCCCCATCATCCCAGCAAAAAACTCCATTCTTTACTCCTACTATATCTTTAAGCATGTTCTCAGTTTTTTGCTTTAGGGTTTTACTGATCTTATTTTAACCTAAAACTTGTAAGTTGTGATGGCTTCAGTAGCTGTCTTTAGAGTCAAAGAGTTTAATGCCAGAAAGGACCACCAGATCATATAGTCTGAACTTCTGTATATCACAGGCCTCCAATACTACCAGGCTGGATAAAATTTAACAATTTTAGTTGAAAATGAAAAAACAAACAAACTGTATTTCAATTGGATTTTTGAGTTTAAATGATATTTTTTTTAAATTAAACTTAAAATGTAATTTGAAATTAATACTATAATTTCTTATAACATTTAAATAAATATATTGAATCTATGAACAGTTATTAAAACTTGGCGTTAAAAGCTGCTTTTTACATAGAGAATTGGGAGGGCAAGTTTTACAAATATGGCACAATAAATTTTTACGAATATGGCAATACATTTTTAGGTCAAATTTTACAAATATGGCACAATAGGTCATACTGTATTAAGGACTTGTTTAATAAAATCAATTTTATATGCTTTGTGCATTTAATTAAATTCCAGTTATTCTGATCCTGCTGGACACAAATTAATGAGCAATAAGTTAATCTTGTAAATTTATATATTCATCAAGGTGTGTTTGATTTGAATCGTGATTTAAATCACTAGTCAGGAAGACACGATTTAATCACGGTTTTCTACATAAAGGTACATTCTTTTTGGTTGTTATAATAATATATAATCTTCGCAACTCAGGTAAATGTAGGTTTCATTTTTAGAAAGTACACACTATATATTTTTAAACTGATTTATTTTGAAGACTTTTCAGATTAGTTTTAAAGTTATATCAGAAAATTGATTATTTCATTTACCAAAGAGAATTGAAGCAGATATTAAGTCATTGGGGAGGTGAACTATCTCCAATTCAATAGTTTAATCATTACTATTTGGAGGATTTGTTTGACGTGATATATTAAGAGAACATCACCAGACAGACATTTAGATTGTTGTTTTTGTTAAATAAAACATGTATTCTGGATTTTTTTTCCAACAGCAAACACATAATATTTTAACAAAGCAAGCAATGTGATTTTCTTGACTTGAGTTAAACATTCAGGGTTTGTTTGTTTTTTTTAAATCAGGTTTGTTTTTGTTAAAATTGTTTTTAACTAAAATAGTGAAATGAAATATTTAAAAAAACAACAGATCGATTGTCAGCTAGGTCAGCATGAGACACTTAAAATATTGGCGTCTGCAGCTCACTTAGTTGTCTTTACCTTTATTTTCCTGTCTGTTCATAATCTGGAAAAGGAAAAACAAGCTTTCCTTCTTTTTCATGTCCCAAACTATTTAATTTGGAGTTAATTAGTCCAAGGAAGAAAATATTCTTTCTAGACTAGCAGAAGCGGCCACTGCTGTTAAAAATGAGATTATCGCTTCAACAGTCTCTGAATCCAAGTGCTTAAGTGACTTCCAGTTCACCAGTGTGACTGTCTATAAAACGTCATCAGCAAACATATATGGTTCACCCTTTGCTCTGAAGTTTATTATAGTTGGCAATATGGAGGGATGATTGCTGGATGCCTGTATCATAGCCAACTCTGCTTCTTTGACAGTTAAGGTTTGACCCTGGAACAAGGTATTGAGAATATTTGCAAGAAAATGAGCTGGAAATAGTGCTTGTCCCGTTCACTTTTTAATGCTCGTAACTCAACTTTGTCATTGCATATTTCTCTTTTTTAAGATCTCAGTCGTTTCCTTCCAAACTTCAATGAGGTCAACAGTAAACCAGAGATTTCCCTGAATTTTGTTTAAAGCTACGGAAATAGGCTTCAGGGTACTCAGCATGCATTTGATATTTCTCTTAAGGCCAGTGTTGAGAACTTTGGCTGTAACAGTGCCATCTATTTCTTCACAGTTTTGTTCAAACTTTCATCAGACTAGGCCAGTTCTTGATGTAGTGCCCAAAACAATCCACTACTGAGTTCCATCACATATCTTGTGGGAGAGAGAGCTTGGTTCCTCCCACTTTTTTCAGAGCAACTGCTCAGGATTATTGTGGACATTGCTCCCATCGAGACCCAGGTTAACAATTTTAACCTCTAGACTTTTTGCACACGCCTCAATTTCTTTTTCATACACTTTATCCAGCAGTTTGCCTGCGACATCTGCTCTGTTGGGTGAACTGCTCTATTGGGTGAACTGTATCTTAATTAGGGATGTCAACAAGTAGTCAACTAGATAATTAACTGATAAGCCTAGGCTTAACAGTTAATCTTTTTCACTACTTGCATTCCCTCCCCCCCCACTGCCTCTGATGGGGTGGAGCAGGAGCCGGTGCTGATAT